AAATTTCCTAAAATATAATTTATTACATGGGTGGGGGGTACCAATAACAAAAATGGGGGGTATGAATAATAATCCCCTATATTAAATTATAATAATAATATTCTGAAATTAAAATAAAAATTAACAATAACAAATTTTAATTTTTAATAAATATGATTAAAACTTAATTCAAAATAATAAATAATAAAAAATTATTTGATATTTATAATTTTAAAAAAATAATTTCAAATTTGTTTATAATATTTAAAATTAATATAATATTAAAGTAACTTATTAAAAATTTAATATATTTTATTTTAAAAAAATAATTTCAAATTTGTTTATAATATTTAAAATTGATATAATATTAAAATAACTTATTAAAAATTCAATATTATTAGAATTAATTTAATAAATACTAATTAATAAAAAAATAATTTAATAATAATAACAAAATATAATTAAATTTATAAAAAATACTTTAAAAGATAATTAATTAATCAAATAACTGTCAAGATTATTAACAACTAAAAAATTATTAGAAAATTAAAAAAATTATTAAAATACAATAAATATATAATATTTTTAATATATTTAATAAAATATTATTTAATCTTATTGAAAATTATAAATTATAAAAATAATGTTTAATTATTTAAAAAAAATTAGTATTATATTCAAATATATATTAATTTTATAACTTTATTAATCATAAAAAATATTTTAATTTTATAAAATAAACAAATATTTAACTTTAAAAATTATTAAAAAATTAGTTAAAAGTCTAGTAATTAATTAAAATATAAAATAATTAGATATTTTATCTTATAAAACAAAATCTTAATAATATGAATTTTATTTTATAATAAATATTTAATCAAATATTTTATATTAAAATATTATCAAATAATTATGTTATTAAATTATAAAATATTATATGTCTTATTTAAAAAATCTAAATTCTAATAGCTAATATAATTATAGAATTATATATAATTTTATTAGTAAGAATTAAAATTTTGTCTTATATAAAGTTTTTAATTTTATTAATAAATATTTTTTAATTTTATATTAAAACAAAAAGTATAAATTATATTTTAATATATATTTTTTCTGACAAAGTTATTCTAATTGCAAAATTATTATAAAAATTTTTTATAATTAAAATATAAATTAATTATAAAAAAATTTTGTAATAACTTTGTAAAAAATTCAGAAAAAATATATAGTAGCAATCAAAAATAATGCATAATATCAAAATTTATTAATTAAATATAGTAAAATATGTATTTTTCTCTTTAGATAAAAATAAAAAATATTTATTAATAAAATTAAAAACTTTTATATAAAGAGAAAAAACACATATTTTATTATATTTAATTAATAAACTATAACTTATAGTTTTTGTTTAATATAAAAATAAAAAAATATTTATTAATAAAATTAAAAACTTTTATATAAGACAAAAATTTTAATTTTTACTAAATAAAATTATATATAATTTTATAATTTTATTAGTCACTATATATAAAATAAGTAATATATAAACAAAATAAATAATAAATAAATATTAAATTAATAAAATTAAATAGCAAAAATAAATTTATATATTAGTTATATTAAAATTATTAAAATTAAAGTAGAAATAAATATTTAAAAATAATAATTTTTAATTTTTTCTTATATTTTCTTTTATTTATTCAATTAAATATAGTTTATATATATTAAAAAATAATATAATATTTGATTTTTTTGTTATATTCTTTATAATTTAAATTTTTTATTATTTATAATATTATTTGAGTATATTTACTTAAATATTATTAAGTATTTGTATTAGTTATAAATAAAAATAATATTAATAAGTATATAATATTTATTTGTTATTTATTATAATATATTATAACTCCAAAATTTTATAAATTATAACTACAGACAAACCTTCCTAAATGCATCCCTCTTGGAATCATAGTAAAGTGTGCATTTAGAGAGAATATGCATTTAGAGAGGGTATGCATTTATAGAGCTTTTATGAGCTGGGATCCAGCCATCTTGTGCATTTAGAGAGGGTGTGCACTTATAGAGGGTGCATTTAGAAAGGTTTGTCTGTAGTTATAACTGAATAATACTTTATTTATTATTATATTATAATAGTTATTATATTATTAGATTATCTAATATATATTTAAAATAAAATTTTATAAGTTATATAATTAAATAAAAAAATTATATTATAATTTATATAGTTATATTTAATATAATATAAATATTACATTTTAATATAAAGATTTTAAAAAGATTTTTTAGCTATTCAAATTATATTTAAAAAATATATTGTTATTAATTTTAATCTTATTAGCTTAATTTAATATAATAAACTTTTTGTAAAAGTAAAATTTTTGTTAAAAACTATATAATTTTTGTACTTTGACAAAAATTGTATTTAAAAATAAATTCTTAAAATATGAAATAAAGTATATTTAAAAATTTTTTATAAAATATTATTTATAAATAAATATATAAGTCTTTATAATTAACTTTATTTACTTTTCTATTATAATAGATTAAAAATTTATAATCTTTATTTTTTTTAATATAAAAATAAAAAATATTTATTAATAAAATTGAAAACTTTTATATAAAATACAATTTTAATTTTATTATATTTTATTAATAAAATTGCACATATAATTTCATAATTCTGTTAACTATTATATTATTATATATAATTATTTTTTTAATATTTTTAATAAGTATTTCAAAATAAATTAAAGCATATATTTTTTTATATTTATTATTTTTATATTTGTGTTTTGAATTTATTTTTCTAAATTAATCAAAAATATATATATTTTTATTAACTTGTTTCTTAAACAAATTATTAAATTTATCAAACTTTAACCAATTTCAAATTTATTACATTTATTAATTAAATTTATACTATTGGATTTTTCATAATAAAATTTTATAGTTAATAATAAAATTTTTATATAATTTAACTATAAAAAAATTATATTTGTTTTAATAAATCAAAAATAAAATAATTTGATAATTATATATTTTATTTCCTTTTCTAAAAATAATTTTATCTATATTAGAAAACAACTAATTCTATATATTTTCTTATTTTTTTTATTTAATAATTCCATAGTTATCCAATTAGTAATTTGTCTAACTAATTACTGTGAAAAAAGGTAAAATTAATCTATTACATATATATGACTGATTATTAAGATAAATAAAATAGAAATTTATTAAACTAAATAATATTTGTAAATATTGACATAAATATTTTAATTATATAATGATAATATTTTAATTGTTATTTGTAACAACTGCATTTTAATAGTTAATTAGGACCTGAGTTAGGATTAAGATTCTGGATGTGTAATTGGTTAATATTGAAGTTGTTACAATTAATTGATTCATATTTTAATATTTTTTGCATTTAATCCAAAGAAATTTTTCCAATTGCAAAGTATAATGTTAATTAAAAACTAGAAGCTTTTTCAAAGTTAAAATTTGATTTGGATTTAGAATAGTTTAGGCAAAAATATTTCATTTGTCACTTCGTATACAATAAACGTGCAAAGTAAAAAGTGAGTGCTAAATTTACTAAGAGAACAAAGTATGATTTAAACAGTGATATTTGTTATCAGAGTGTGTGACATTGTGCCATACTACATATTACTAGATAATTTCAGCTGATTGGATTGATAAAGATCCGAGAACAATAAAAATATTATAATATAAAAGCAGAAAATTTTATAACATTCGTTGTTATGGACGATATTGTCATCATATACTGTGATAAAGAATATCCATAATAATACGTTGTCGCGTACTCACTCTTTGACCCGTCCTAAAACATTTAGCAAACGAAGAACGGGGAGATTATCCTAACAATATGAATAACCCAGACACAGATCTAGAAAGTGTTCGTCACGAGTATCGTGCACAATTATCCGAGTTAACATTTAACTCGAAACCAATAATCACCAATTTGACAATTATTGCTCAAGAAAATATTCATGTCGCGCGTGCTATTGTACAAGCGATAGAAGATCAAATCAAAGTGGTAAGTAATTTCTTGATATGTCGAGAATTTTCGATATTGGTTACGTAGAGGTCGTTGATGAGGGCAGTGGCGAGAATCTGCCATCAATTATTCGAGAATCAAGAAGTCTTCAATCATCATGATTATGCTCATATTTTCCTTGCATGTATATAATTATTTTGCAGTCACTTCCGCCTCAAAAGTTGCCAGTTTTATATCTACTAGATTCAATAAGTAAGAATGTTGGTGGAGTGTACATTACACTTTTCTCTCATAATCTTTTACACACATTCATTGACGCATATCATGCGGTCGATGATGCCACAAAACAAAAATTCGAGCGTGTTTTAAATACTTGGAAAGTTGGTCCTAATGGTGGACCAGTGTATCCTCTTGACGTGACTACATCGATTGAAAGGGCTTTGATTAAACAACAACAAATGCGATATCAGAGTAGAGGATCGATTGATGGACGAAATCATATTCACATTAATCCTAATTTTCTAGCTGGAATAGTAAGAAAATTTCAATTTATAATGATTAATTGCATTAATGGCCTATGACAATAATTTCTATTTCTTTTTCCATAATTGCTAGCAACAAAATCAAAATTCGTTGAATAATTATCAACAACCTCAACAAACACCACAAACATCTCAAACACTCATCACTTCACATGCTTCTGCCCCACTCTCACACACGCTTCCTCTTACACAACAACCCCAATCATCACAACCACAATGGGCCGATAACGCTCACTATACTAATGATGGTGGTGGTGCTGGTGCAAATTCATATACATCCACCTCTACAACGACACATCCAAGTCGTCAAGGATATTATTCAACTCAAACGGTGAGTATTTTTTTATTATATTATTATCATCCAATCTTATTTCTGTCGTCACCACTTTCTCGCCCCTTCATTATCTTGGACTTTTCGTTTTTGTTATTGTCAAATAGTGGTGCTGTGATATGTTATATAGTTTCTTTATGTTGTAATATTTTGGAGGATTTATATTGGGTTCCGAATGTTGTATTCTCGTTGGTCCTTTTTTTTCAAGAATGCTTTCATCTCACATTCTTCGAGAGCATAGCCATAAAGCTACAGCTATTATTCTGGCATGTTGCACTCTTTCAAGTGTTTTGTTTAGAGATTGATTTGACATGAAAATAATCCATACAGGATTCAACAAATATACTCATTTAAAGTCGACAATATAGTCGAATTGAATACAAGAAATAAATAAAAAAAAAAACGAATGAAAAAAAAGACACGTGAAAAAAAGAAAAAAAAATAAAAAAAAATAAAAGAACAAAGAAAAAGCAAAAGAAAAACCAATATAAGCGAACAATTGCATGCATGCTTATACATCCTTTGAAATATTCACCCGGTTTTCATTGAGATCGAAGGCAAAACATCGGATGGATTGGATTTCATTAGGAAAATTTTTGAAAATAATTCGATCCTTTGTAGATATTGATGATATTCCTTTATTTTGGGGTTTCTTTTTCTATTATTTTCTAGTATCCGCAACAGCAACAGCAACAACAACAACAACCACCACCACCTCAAGGTTTTATTCCACCACCCGATCAAGCACGCCTTATACAAGAATATCGAGCTTTATTATCACAACGGCAACAATACGCACTACAAAATGCAGGAGATCCTAATAATCAAGTACAAATTCAAACTTTACAAGGGGTATTTTTTTGATTATTTTCTCTCTTCTCTTAATCATTCGGAAACAATTTATAACATTATCTTTCTCGATTTCTAGTTATTGGATTTATTTCAAATGACGACCCTAACACCGGATCAAATTCAGCAACTTCGTCAACAAATTTCTAATTATATGTCACCTTCGCAACAGCCACAACAACAACCACAACATACTGCCGCTACGCCTTACGGAAACCTTCAAACGGCAACGACCGCAGCTGATTTGAGTGCATTATTAGCCCAGCATACCGCTCTACATCACAATGTCTCAACATCTGCCGCTGCTCCTTCTACTAGTAGTAGTGCTAATACGCCATCCACCTCGACACCTACGCCGCTATCATATCCATCCCAACCTTTGAACTTAACTCAACCACTACTGCCTCATTCTGCATCGTCGTCGTCGTCGTCAGCCATCGGTTTACAGACGCCAGTATCAGATCCAAATGCATTAGTTAGAAATTTAATGGATTTCGGATTATTGGGTTCAAATACTGCTGGTATGCTTATGAGTACTACTACTAACACTACTAATACTACTAATAGTACTAGCAATCTTAATAATAACAATAATACGAGTAGTAATAATAATAGTAATACATTGAATAGTGTTTCTGCTGTATTAGCTGGATTCAATCTTAATAATAATCTTAATAATAATCATGGTACCAATTTAAGTGGTGCTTCTGCTAATCGAACTAATATTAATCATAATGGTGTTGGTGTTGGTGTTGGTGATGTTCGAGGAGTAGGGGGAGTAGTAGGAGGAACAACACCTCCAATTGTTGTTAGTGTAACAGGATCTATGCTTAAAGAACTAGGCAAAATTCAATTGACGAGTAGCGACATTCAAAAGTAAGTCGTTTGTTTATTTCATCTAGTCCATTCATTAATAATCCTCTTAAATCATCCCATTAATAAAAACTATTCAATAGGAAACGTGAAGGTGCAATCGCTATATTATATGACGCGTTTCCACTTCAATGCAAACAATGTGGATTTCGATATGCTAAAACGGGAGAGGGTAAGGCAAAGATGGATGCTCATCTTGATTGGCATTTTCGACAAAATCGTAGAATGAAAGATAAAGCAAAGACAGCTCAGAGCAGGAATTGGTTTGTTATTGAGGAGGTAAAAAAATATTTATTTGTATCATATTCTCATTATTATTATTATTGATTTTTTGCCATTTAATATTTTCATCTATTATATATGTATATGTAGGATTGGGTTTATTCCCGTGAATCGGAAATAAATACAATTATTCATTCAGCAGCCTATTTCGAACCAGCACCTTCTTCATCCGTCTCGTCATCTACCCCCAAAAAATCAGCTCCCGTGACTCAACAACAACCACAGCAATCAAAAGAAGAGGAAGTGATGAACGAGTCAACGGTGATTGTACCATTAGACTGGGAAAAGATGAGTAAACCTTGTCCGATTTGTCAAGAGAAATTCAAGAAATATTATAGTGATGCGGACGATGAATGGATTTTCAAGAATGCTGTCGAGATTGATGGTGTGATCTACCACGCGAGTTGTTATGCTGATGTTGCAAAGGTTTTGAGAGTTTTTGATCGATTATATATTTCATTTAATCTCTAAGTCACGTTTATCATGATCCTTATTAATTTATTAACGCGAGGAATTACCAATTGAATAGAATCAAGAAACGACGCAGTCGTCGTCCCGTGAAAGCACCCCAAGCTCAGTACTTGGAAAACGAAAAGCCGAAGAGGTATTCTGAATATAACATCATAATATCCATTCATTACATATGTATTAATTGAATTTTGCCATTGATCTTTATTCACAACCATTTCTTTTTTCTTTAATCTTAGTCACAGCCTGAAGTTCTCGAAGTCCAAAAACGACCGGCCCTTGTTTCATGAACCAAAAAGAATAAATAGTAGGAGTGCTTATAACCCAAAAATAAATAGATTCTTTTTCATCAAAAATATTAATAAATAAAAATGAAAAAATGAAAAATCAAAAAAAAAATTACGGAGGTTTTGTAATAATTACTGGTGGTGATAGATATTAACACAATGGTGATAGTAATTATGGCGGGAGATTTTTATACTCTTTACTTATCGTTTTCTTAGATTTTATACCTAATTTCATATATGAATTACTTTATAGTATCCTATATACTTTTAGTAATTCTTTGAGATCTAGATACTTTTATCATTTAACTTACTATATATCTACAGTTGTATGGCGATTCATAATTCACAAATAAATAAATATAATGAAATTTCTAAATGAATATAATGAAATACTTCGATTACAATCAGAACCCTTGACCAATTCAATAACTACTATTCGTGACCATATAACATGAATCATTCAGGTATGACTAGCTTAACCAGCATCCATAGAATTAAGTGATTGTAAATAAATTTTATTAGTTAATTCATTCGTATGAACAAGAACAGGAGAAAGGAAATTTTTAGCTATCTACAAATGTATTGGGAGAAAATTTATATATGTAACTATATGTATATCAACAAGGTGTTTCTTCATCTTTTTTTCCATCCATAATCAGCTCTACATTATTATTATTATTATTATTACTAGTACTACTTGCTGATGCTTCATCATCATCATCCATTATTTCCAAGTCATCTTCACTGTTAACACTCGATATCCCCGTATTATTATTCTTAGTATTAGTGGTAGTAGTAGTAGTATTATTATTATTATTATTATTATTATTATTATCATTATTATTATTATTATCATCATTATTATCATTATTGTGATCATTATTATTATTATTATTATCATTATTATCGTTATTATCATCATTAATTGAAGCAATGTTGTTATTGTTATTGCTATTGTCATTATCAATTCCGCCAGTCTCATCGTTATTTTTCCGCGGCAAACGCAATTTAGCTTCTTTCGAGAACTCGGGAGGCAACAAGTCATCTTTATATTTCAATAGATTCTTGAAACAACCAACAAGCGTCGCATTCACGACTCCAGCAACTGCAGCAACATCTCTGTGTTCACATGAGATTAGGTTTTTGTCGTTTGTGGTATTCCACGTGGTGATGGCAAGCCAGATTGACGCGGCTCCTACTGATACGGGACATTTACCGGTGGTGATGTTTAGTGAACTGGCTTGTTTGTAGACGTGAATTGATGCTTCAAGAATGTGATCGGGTAGTTTCAAGTTCTGACACCAACGTTTCTATATTTTATAATCCAATAATTATTAATTATAACCGAATAAATATTAAGTAATAAACTGAATCAAAATTATTACTCACCAAGAACTTGGCAGAATCAACCATTCTTAAAGAAGGCCCATTCATTCCGGTACACAATCCATTATTTTCAAAGACTTTAAGCATCAGTCGATAATAGGTACCGATTTCCTGTTTTCTGACTCCAGCTGCGTTACAAATCTCAACAAAAGTTCGCGGAAGTCCGTGTTGTCGACACAAAATTAACAGGATCGAAGCGAGAATATGATTACGTCGACGGTGCGGCTGTCGATTTTTCATCTCTTTCGATTGTTTCACAACTTCGAACAGACGCAGAGTTTCCTCCCATATTGACGGGGGAATCTCAATATTCTTTTCCCATTCGATTTTTTCCAGTTCTAATTTTTCATCGGATGAATCTTTGAGCGTTGATTTGCGTTTTGGAGGACATGAAGACCTTTTATTGTTAGATCCTGCCGCTATATTGGCTCTTCCTGTACCGTCTTTAACACTATTATTGTAAGCACTAGCGGAATTTGTCGGCATTGAATTTTTACGGGATAGAGGTAAGTGGCGTGAAGTGAATTCAGTAACAGGTGGGGATGTAGATGATAATGATGTATTAATTTTTTTCGTTTCATTAGAATTACCACCATTACCGTTACTATGACTATTATTATTATTATTACTATTATTTGTATTACTATTGTTGCTGTTGTTATTATTATTATTATTATTATTGTTATTATTATCATCATTATTATTATCATTATCATCATTATCATTGTTAGATAGAGCAGATGGCGATAAATATATAACCTTTTTTTCATCCTCGTCGTCAAATTCTTCGAAATTAGTATTCATGATCTCAGTCTCGAAATTTTCATCATAATTATTTATCAATTTAGTGGTTTCGTCAGGACGTGAAACATGATTGTTACTCTTACTTATGTTTTTTGAGAAAGAATCCGTGGGAGCAGATAAAGGTTGACTTTGACCCTGATTTGTTGATACTTTTGAATCCACCATTATAATTTCCTCTTCTTCCTCTTCTGTCAACATATCATCACTATCCCATTGTTTGTTATGGTTATTTTTATTGTTAGTGTTCTTTTCATTTTTAACAATTTTTTGTTGAGATGTTTTTGTATATGACGATTTATATTGAGATTCCTGTCGTTGTTGTGTTTCTTTACGATACAAAGCCTCTTTAAGATACGAAGAAGTTGAGGACGAAGTAGCAGCAGTATTACTAATAGTCGACGAAGCTGGTCGAAATGATTCCTTACGTTTCACCTCGCTTGTCTCGTCTTCGGATCCATCATCCATTGCCAAATCATCATCCGAATTCTCGATATTAGCAGGAGCAGTAGTGTCAATTTTCGGGTCCACGATTTCAGCAGCAGCGAGAATACTATCAATACTATTGGTGCTAGTATTGATTTTATCGTTACTTCCTTTGCGACTTGGAAGCCGAGAAAGCGGAATATCTTTATTCGCTTTATCGCTCGTTTTATTACTGATTATACCTTCATTAGCTACCGATGATTCTGAAATGCTAGTGACTAATGTTGATGAAGAAGACCCAGTAGAAGCTCTAGTGACAGCAGTATTCTCAGTACTAGCACGCCTATTATTCATCATCGATTGTAAAATCTCGATTGTCGCTTGTTCTTTTTCAGCAATTTCTGGATCAGAAATCGAAGAAGGAAATGAAATTGATTGCGGTGACTCGACGAATTGGATCTTAACGTCATCATTCTCTTCTTGTTTAATCTTGGAGTCATTTTTAACATAAGTCGTCGTGATCTCCGTAATCACGGGTTTTGACTTGATTCGTCGTCGATTTTTATCCTCGGTAGATGAGAAAGAGAAGGAAGTACAATTGTGATTATTATTAATACTGATTGGATAGTCTCGTTTTAAATTTTGAATCACGTTGACAGCATCAATTTCAGGCTGAGAAAATCCAATAGCCTTATTGCTAATAATATCATCCTGATTTTTAATCTCAAATCGATTATAGTTTACATTTTTATTGGGTGAAGGTGGAGGTGAATCTTCCAATTTAACTACTTGTTCTTGTTTTGGTGTGATTATCGATTTCTTCTCCTTTTGACGATATTGATGATGATCAATTGAACGTGAAGAAGCGTCGACAAACGTTTGATTGCTTTGTTTTCTTCGTAGTTCTTCCTCCTCTTCGCTGTTGTCGTTCTCTTTTGTTGGAATAGAAGTGACGTATTGAAAATATGATTCTTTTTCTTGAGTCATCTGTTGCTGTTGTTGATATTCAGACATCAATATTGGCTGCTTTGGTTTTGTCGCCACGATACGGGCTCGTTTTTTTGATTTAGGAGAACCGATTTCAGATGACAACGAAGGCAGCGTATGATGGTGGTTGTGAAGAGAGGTAGCAGCAGTAACAAGAGGTGGTTGTTGCTGATGATGGTGATTATGACTATATTGATGATAATCATTATTAATTGGCTGTTGATGATAATTATTATTGGAATTTGATGACGATGACTCGTAATATTGTGTTTGTGATTGACGTTGTGAGGTTAATGATTCAGAGTTTTCGTGATGATGATGCTGATGTTGATTAGAAGCAGCGATTGAATAATTCTGCAGATGAGGCTGTTGCTTTTGTGTAGTTGAATTTAATAAAGGGTATGAATATGACGGTTTTTGACGTTTTTGTGGTGCTGATGGTGTCAACACTGGTTGATTATAATATTGCTGATGATTGTAGTTATAATTGTTAGTATCTAATGAATCATTCTTATTTGAAATAGAATGTGATACTGATTCACGACGAGTCATAAGATCAGTCATTAAAGTTTGTCCGGATGAAGATAAAGATGGAATTGGTAATGAATTACGATGCTCATTTATGTCTCCTCCCCTTGTATAATTCATTTGATCTTGCATTAGATGATTGAATGAAGATGATCTGATTTCAGAGTTGCTACTGCTACTACTACTATTAATATTGGTATTATTCGAATATGGGTAATGATGATTAGATGATGAAGAAGCGGTGGAAGAATTATGAAAACTATTCTCGATATGAATTTTATCTGCAGCGGCAGGCGAATCTGAAGATGAAGGATAACTTAGTAGAGCAGATGGTTGTTGTGTAGGAAGAGAAAGGGAAGATGGAATTTGATGATGATGAGTAGTGTTTTGCTGTTGCGGCTGCTGTGAATGATTTGTCGTTGTGTCATAATGTAATGCACTATTATAAAGAGACCGATAATTAAATTGGGAATTAGTAGTATTAGTGCTGGGGGAATGAATTGATGATGACGTAGATGATGATTCTGTGGTAGAAGAAAGTGGAAAGAGCGGTGATGCGGCCGAAAATTGTGATGATGTTGAAAAAGATCTTGACGGGACAACTGCAGCATTATTGCTACTTTGATCGGACGTTATTAATTCTCTTATCGAAGGCAATGTAACAGAGGTTGGTATTGATGGTGGCAAATGTTGCTGCTGCTGTGAGAAATGATGATGTCGTTGATGATGATTTTCATTTTTTTGTGGCTGTGATTGTGGCTGCTGCATTTGCTGCGGCTGATGAAACTCGAAAGATCTTGTATTACTATTGCTGCTGTTGTTGTATTCATTTTGATGCTGTGAAACTGGAAATTGTTGCTGGTGGTGATGATTATGGTTATGATGATACGGATGCTGCTGCTGTTGATATTGGTGATGATGATGTGTACTATTGTTATGATATTGTTGGTGTCGATTTTGATTTGGTTGTTGCTGTTGTTGATCCATTTTCGATAAATGCTTTATTTTGATTTCGTCATCAGCTATTAAAAAATAATCAAAGAATTTTCCTTTGGATCTATCGTTCTTCTCTTTCAGTTGTCTTTTTCACACGAGTCCTTTTGATCCGTATTTATAGCTTTATCCGTGATCTGCAATGCAACAAAATTCTTATTAGCATAAATAATCGCAGATAATGATGATGATCGCCACGATGATTCCATGATAACATGAATGATCTCGTCGACACAAAGCATATAATCCCATCCTCGGTAAGTTCGAAACACAAATATCCACCATACGTTGTCACTTATACGCACAAATGTAACTACTCCCAATTCTACCAAGCGAGCGGTGCTTTTTTCCTCGTTAACATTCCAATACACTCGTGTTTCACTATTGGCTGCCATTCCGGTCCTTGCCTCCATATGCAAGCCTAAAACCATATCAACCTCTAAAAGAAACAAAGTACGTACCTCCAATTCCTTTGAACCTTAAAATTCTTGGCTTATTTTATTATATACTTTTTACAATTTATTATATGTATGTATACGTGTTTTATACAAAGAAACAAAGAAAATTCAGCGCTCGTATATATACACTAAACATATAAACACACTTTTTAGCAAGTAAATATATGGTTGGGTTTTCGATTTGAAAAAGAAAACACCAGGTGAAACCACGAAATCGAAACAAAAAACTTTCGATATCGCGAGATTGTGTGTGTGTATATTGAATGTGGAGAGGGCAGTTTTGGGTTGAATCGTGTTATTTATAGAAAAATGGGATTATTAATGTCGATATAATACATATAATACGTTGCACGAATAATAAATAAAATAGGATAAAAAATCTTGCACAACAGACACAATATAAACACAACACAACCGATACTAAAATGAAAAGAGAAGTACAATAAATAAATATTGGTATGCATAATGTATGTATCGTACCGTATATCGCACAGAGATGTTTTTTTTCTAAATAGAAAATCCATGGTTTTTTCAATTGTATTTTTTCCAATTGTATATAATTCCATATATTTTTGTTGTTGGCAGATTTTTTATTTTTTTCTATGCTTTGTCGTTGTAGTTACCCCAAGTAAGCAAGATACACATAAAATTCAAAGTAGTACGATATATACTAAAGAGGATTTGGGCACAAACGGACATGCATCTGCTTACATTTACATGCATAGACATGAACTATGTGCATATGTTAGTTTTATGACGCGAATTTTTATGAGCAACAATGTTTCGCTTCATTAAAAGTTAATAAATCGTTAATGGAACGGAATTTTTTGGTTGTGCATCAATGATTATAATATAATGAATTTATGACTTGATCTATAGCTTACAAGACTGTGATAATGACTTTCTATTTCTTACAAGCCTACCAAAGCAGGACTACCAACCTGGTGCAACATTATAAAGATGATATATTGGGATTTAAAATCGCAAATAAGGAAAAAAAGAAGGCTAAGCTAACGAATTTGTATAAAGTTTCAAAGGTTATTTGTATTTCATGTCAGCTTGGAAAATAGTGATGGTCTACTGTTTTTATATTAATTTGGGCGAGTATTACGAGCTACTGGATCTATTGCGTTTGGTTGTCAGATACGATAATAAAAAATTGGAAGATATTTCTTACAGAAGATCATATAAAATTCCTGTGATTGCAATAACAAAGCCCAAACTTTCGAGTCCAATTCAATACTAATAGCGGGCCGACTATTTCTCATAAATTTGTCTGACGTATTATAGCATCATCAAGCTTCTAATTTTCGATTGTGGTGGCCACTCGGAATTTTTTGATATTAACGATAGAGAACTCATTATAAACTTGTATTAACACTATCCAAACCAATCTGGATTTTATTTATAGTTCTGGTTATACACTGGTTTCACACTCAATGACGGACAAATTTTAGTATCTGTGCGTTGCAGAGGTTCATTGTGTATCGCCTACTTAAAATCATCATTTAAAAGTGAAAAAAAGTCTCAACATGCATCCTGAATGATATATGGCGATTCTATTCTTGGATTTGATACAACACTAGTTTAATATTAGACTGAGGTACACAAAGGGGAAAAACTCGTCTAATGAACGTTATAAAAAACTTGACAAATTTTGGACTTGTGAATAACTAGAATTGGAATGACTTTACATGGGCTTTTTTTGTCAATATAGCTCCTAAAGATGGTGAACCAAATTAGAGATCCAAGGGCAAAGCAGATCATACAAAAACGAAGAGACGCTTTGGAGATGCTGTAAACTTAAAGATTATTCAAATCGCAAATAGTAAAAGATATCGTTGGTTTGTACAAGTATATTAATGTTTTTTTAGTTCGAGCAAATTCAGTTTTCAAATAGCATACTTGACCGTTAAATATACTTTGATCGTTAAATAAGTAAAACTATTGAAAATAAATAAATAAAAATTGATTTCCGAATTCTTTTAATCTTTGATTTATTTAAAGCAACCCGTGCAACTACGCCATACTCATGAATCGTATCCGGGGGATATGGTGCAAGGAGCAGGATATGGTACGAGGGGGTTATACATACCAGGTACCAGTTAAGGGGTGGGATATCTTGCACGGGAAAATACGGTATGCATCATTTATGTGTATATATGTATATTTGTATATCACAATCACCCTTTCCCTCTTCGATTTATTATATATCCCCATCCCATAACTAATAATACAGATAAATTAATATTTGGAATTATGATAACAATTCGAAATTAACAAAACTTCAGGATTCTCTGAAAATTGGGAATAATAATTATTATTATTGATATTAATCGTATCCTTTTCCTTACCATCATCCTCCTTAAGATAATTATAATCTTTGATATCAATATTACCATTACCAACATGACCATTACTTTTACTACTAACCCCATTGCCATTAATAAGAATACTTCCATTACTAATTGTCGTTTGTAAAAAGATCTTTTTTAATGTGACTAAACATCGTTCTCGTAACTTAACCATTTCGTCGATTTGATTAGGCGACAAATCAGAAAATTCTCGTTTTCCGTATTTCATCAATTTCAGCAACACAACCACCTTAAATATCCGCCAACTCTTTATAAACTGTTTGAACATTGCATATCTTTCATCCAATAAATAATAATGATAAATCAAAATTGTCGGTATTATGATAGTAGTTGCCCAGAATCCACGTAAACCGAAACCGGTCCATGACCATAGTTGATAGAATAGTAGACTATAGAGTGGTGGGAGAAGTACAAGTGCAATAAACACTTTATCTTGTGATCGAGATTCCTCATACTCCTCTCGTAATGCCACCAATTTCCCGAGTGCATAGACCGGAAGATGGATTATTAGACCAGGTAGAAAGAAAGGTGCTTGTAGGAATAAACTCAAAAATTGTCCAGTTAAGCTGATTAACGCTGATACAGGGGTAACTCGGTCTTTTGAATATTTACATATTTCAAATTCGGTGAGATTTAGTTGTTGCAATTGGCGATGATATGTTAAAAGATCCTGTTGAAGTCTTTTGATGATGATTTGTTGTTGTGATTCAGCGTCTGATGAGTTTCGGAAGAAATTTATAAAACTATTTTACAAGAGAAAAAAGAAAATCTGATTATTTATAGAATGTTCCTATGCAAACAAAAATAAATGTAATTCATTACTTTTGCGTAATTTTTACATAATCTTCCAATTTATATGGTGGATCCTTGTCGGAGAATAATATTATTCGTGCCATCTTAGCTGCATTGAATATATCCCTTTTATTAATAAATAGAATAAATTAAATATATATTACTCCATTTTATCAATATAAGTAAATAAATATATACCAATCAGGCGCGTTAATAGTTAGTGCATAAAGCGCCTTTTCAATTTCCCCGGTTAATTGTTTAACGGCCGACTTGGGATCTCTTTCAAAATCATGTAGTAATGAGTCTACAGTTATCGGATCCCCGTATCTTAATTGATAAGATTCATTCATTACTTAAAATTTAATCATCGATTGCTCTTGATAATTTCTGAATTACCTCACAATTACGTCACTTCTAAACCGTGACTTATCCGTATAAGTAATACCAACCGGAATAATCACTGCAGTTTCACCACCGCCTCCATCTAGTTTGCCCTCTTGAAATAGCTTATAAGCGAATTCTAATGCTGCCTATTTTTCACAGAATATTAATTATAATTTTATCACCAAATGTTTGATATATATAAATGTTACCCACCCAAGATGCACCATCTTTTATTGGCAATAAATGTGGTAGCGTTGCCGACGTTCCTAATAAAATGATGTTAATAATAGTCCTAATATTGATAAACAACCCTGATTATTATGAAAAATCCCATACCTTCGGGAAAGACAGCAACAAGACCACCCTTTTCCAATGTCTCGAAAGTAGCTTTAAACAATAACTGATTATTACGCGTAGTTCGATCAACTGGTACCACACCGGCGGATGAGAAGAGTTTTCCAACCAATTTGTTTTGGAAAAAGTCGTTTTTGGCCCAAAAATGAACTTGACGATCGTGTGGAATTGTCGCCAACACCATTGCAGGATCTATGACCATGTTACTGTGGGTTGCAGCACTATTGATTATAATAATATATCAATTAATATTAATTGATTAATCTAGTTAATGTACAAACTGACAAAAACATACTTACATTATCACAGGACGATGTTTTGGTACCCTCTCTTTGTTCACCACTTTTAACTGTTTAAAATACACCCAACTGGCCCATTTTGCACACCCTAACATAAAGTTGTAGACAGCACCTCCTCCTTCTTGACTCATATTTCTTTGATTATTCTTAATTAGTTAATTAATTATTGATTTATTTAATAGAGAACGAGTATAAGTGCAGCTAGATGATAGCATACATATAATGTATTTCATAAAAATTGAGTAGTATATCAAATTTTGGGAAAAATACAATCATCAAATTCAGAGTATTTATAAACGAATATTTTGTGTTCCCTTTCATTGCTATGATCGTTATATTTCTATTTTACCATTTATCGTTATTATTACATCTTTTTATAGTTAGTCTAACCTCGAAGTAATGGAGTATTAATGTTAAAATAACGATAAATAAACCGAATCTCTTGTGTCATTTTCGATGTAACGGTAACGGTTATATATATATATAGTAAAAATTTGGTGGATTTACTATAACCGTTTCTGGCAGTGTAGGGGTCATATGTGGTCGATTTCCAAGTTTTATTATTTCTTAATTTGCATTATTTCTTATACAGTCAAACCTCTTTATAACGGTCCGGTATATAACGGATCCTCTCTATAAACGAAGGGATTTTCGGAACCGTCATATATTCGTTATATACATTGTATCCCTTAAACCGTCCAGCGGGCAAATTTGCCCGCTAAAATCTTTTCTAGCTTATTTTTGTACGTTTACTCCTAATTTTTATAAGCTTAACCACCATCCCTTTTTCTAAGCTTAAATAAATATATAACATATTTTTAATCAATATAATATAAAATTTGTAATTTTATTTATAATATTTGATTTATTTTGTAATCAATTCTGTAATTTTATTATAAGATATTTTTAAAATTTAAGATTAATAATAAAATTTTTTAAAATTGTTTATTTTTAACTTATAGACAACTATAATTTTTTTATAATTATTAAAAAAGTGAAAATAACTATTATATAATATATAATTAAAGCTAATATTAAACAAACTTTTTTGTAAAATATTTTAATTTTTGTTAAAAATATATTAGATATAAATTTATGGAATTTTAGCAAGCAAATTTGCTCACTAAATCTGATAGTTTAAGAGATAATGCATTTATTTTATAATGATCAAAATTCTCAGCTGTTACAAAGAAGTTTGATTGTAGATATAAAAATAATAATGACTTGAGTAACAATTATTTATATTTATTTATTTAATTTTTTTATTTAAAATTAATAATTACTAAATAATTTTTATTTTTTTAAATCAAAATTATAAATTATTCTTAATAATTTTAAGTTCAATTAATATATAAATATTATTCAAAAATTATTATAATTTTATATAAAAATTATTAGAAATTATCCAAAAATATTTTGATTTTTATATATATTATTAAAATTATTAAATTAATTAATATATAATAACTAATAAAAAATATAGTAAAAATTCAAAAAACATATAGTTTCTAATAAAAGTAATAATAAATGTGTTTTTTAATAAGAAATCATTCAAAACTTGTGAAAAATTGTAGATATATTTTTTAAAATATTGAAAACAAGTTTTTTTAATATTATAAAGCATGTTAATATAATAATATTTTGTAAAATTTGATGTCAAAAGTGATAAATTAAAATTTTTAATATTTAAATAGAAATAAAAAATATTTTTAATAAATAATTTTGAAAGAATTTTATAAAATATATTTTTAATTTAAAAAATTTTTTAGTTTATTTTTATTTAATATTAATTATTTTTATAATTTTTTTTTAATAAATTATAATATTATTATTTATTTTACTTAAAAAGAAGTATATAATTATAGTATTCATTTTAAAAATAAATAATATAATATAATATAATATAATCTACTAGAATAAGATCCAATTTTAATTAACTAATTTATTTATTTATTAATTAATTTCTTTTATAAATTAACATATTAATAATTTGCTTAATAATATATTAAGTTAGAAATTATAATAAATGAATATAATTTGCTTAATAATATACCAAAATAAATTATATTAACAAATAATAATATTATATTATATAAATAACATTTAATATATAAATATAAATAATATTTAATATTTCTATATTATACAAATATAAATAATATCTAATATTTCTATATTATACAAATATAAATATTTCTATATTATACAAATATAAAGATCAAAATATAATTAAATTAATTAATTAGATTATAAAATTAAATATTTAATTAATTAAATTATAGAATTAATATATAAAAAAATTCAAAATAAAACAAAGTCTATATCTTAAAATTTTGTCTATAAAATTACTTTTTATATACTAACAAAAAATATTTCTTGTAAAATTTTGAATTAAAATAATTTTATCTCTATTTCATTCCAAATTTTAATCTAAACTAATATTTTTTTTATTTTTTTGTAATATTAAATATTATAAGTATAATTTATAATTTTGAAAAAAATTATTACAAAAAAATTATAAATAATTTCTTTAATTTAATTATTTTTTAATTTAATTTCCATAACTTAATTTTATAATTTTTATAATATTACTTTATTTTATTAAGTAATATATATTATTTTTATATATATTAATTAAATCTCTTATATTCATCACTTTTAAAAAAACAAAATTTGACAAATATAAAAAAATATAACTATATATAAATTTTTTACTATATTTAGGAAAGCAAAATAAAATATCTATAAAAAGATATAATTATAAATAAATATAAATATAAAAAAATTTAAATATATATTAATATTACTTTGCTTGTTATTTTTACTTATAATATTTGCTTGTTATATTTATTTATTATATTTATTTATTATATTTGCTTGCTATATTTATTTAAAAATAATCTTTAAAATAATATTATTATTATAATTAGACTTTTGATAGATAATATTATAATATATATATTTAATAATAGTTTTTTTATAATTACTTGATTTTATTATAATTTATTTACTTCAGAATTATTATATAGTATATTTTTTCTATTTGTTGGATAAACTCTCATTATTATTAATAAATATTATATTTATATATATTTAATACTACTATAATTATAATAAATAATATATATATAGAGTTTGTAAAGTTTATAAAGTTTATAAAGTTTATATAAATTATATAAATTATATGAATTATATAGATTATATAGATTATACAAATTATATAAATTATATAATTTATAAAAATTATATAAATTATATAAATTATAATTATAATAAATTATATATAAAATTACATGTATAATTATATATAAAAATTATATATTTAGATTATATATCATATATAAAGTTATATAATTTCAAATTTATTTAATATAATTAAATAATAATTAATTAATTTAATTAATTTAATTAATTTAAATTATTAAAAATATTAAATATAATAAAATTAATTAATTATTAATAAAATAATTATATTCTGATTATAATATCATTTAATTAAATAATTTGCTGAATTAATTTGTTAAAATTAAATTTAAAATTATTTTAAATTATTTTATTAATTGAAATTGTTTTCTAAAACTATTTGAATTTTATATTTTATAAGTATTTCTAAATAATTTTTAAGTATTTATTAATATAAAAAATATAGCAAAACTGAATTACTTGCCAAAATATTATATTTATAAAAATAATTTAATAACTATTTTTATTTATTTATTATATTTGCTTGCTATTTTTATAATTTTATTATTTTGTTTATCAATTATATACTTCTATAATAAATTACTAAAAATCAAAAATAATAATAAAATATAGTAAAATTAAATTATTTTTTTATAATAAAAATTTTATTTTTATATCAAAATAAAGCTAAGAATTTATATTTTAATATATATTTTTTATAAATTTTTTAATTAAAATTTAATAATTTTAATTTTTAATTATAAAAAGTTTATATAATTAACTTTATAATCTGAAATTAAATTTAAAAAATCTATATTAAAATACAAGTTTTTAGCTTTATTTTAATATAAAAACAAAAAATATTTATTAATAAAAATAAAATTTTTATTACAGAAAAATAATATTAATTTTATTATATTTTACTATTTTTTTTTGGATTTTTGGTAATTTATTATAAGAGTATATATATTTAATTAGTTAATATTTAATAATATATTATTTAATATTTAATAATAATATAATATCTAATATTTAATAAGAATATAATATAAATTGTTCAATAAAATATAATTAAATAATAACTAAATATTTATATTATAACAATAACAAAATTTTATTTTTATTATATTTTACAATATTTATTAAATAAAAATAAACTAAAAATTTTTTAAATTACAAATATATTTTTATATTATAAAATTCTTTTCAAAATTGCTTTTAATAATTTTAATTTTAAAATTTTAATTTGTTATTTTTAATATTAAATTTTACAAAATATTAATATATTAATATCTTTATAATATTAAAAGATTTTGTTTTTAATATTTTAAAAAATATATTTACAAATGTTCATAACTTTTAAAATTTTTTATTACTTTTACTAAGAATTATAAGTTATATTTTAATATATATTTTTTCCAAATTTTTTAAATTTAATTTAACAAAATTATAATTAATTTTATTACTTTAATATAAAAACAATTAATTTTTTATTATAATTTATTAATAAATTTATATAAATTTTGTTAATTATTATATAGTATATTAATTAATATTTTATTTTTATATATTTTAATATATATTTTTCAATTTAATTAAGAAAAAATTTCAAATTACAGTGCTTGTCATATATAATGAGAATAATATTTTTTTTTACTTTGTTATAAAAAAATTGAAAATATATGAAAATTTGCAAATATATAGTTTCATATATTGTGATCAAGTTAACTTAAAATTATTTTATAAAATAACTTATTGTAATTATATTCAATTATCTAATCGAATTCTAATAGTAGACTTTAAATAAAAGAAAGATAATTAATCTAAATAATAGTTTTTTTATTATGTCATGAAAATTAATTAGAAATATATAAAAATTTAAATATTGTCATGATATGACATTTAACGAATAATCTTATTGGATAAGATTTATATTCATTATTATTGG